GAGAGAGAGAGAGAGAGAGTAGGTGGGATAGTAGGGGGCTTTGAAGGTCTGCGGGGTCCTCACGAAATGCTCTTTGATACTGGAAATCGGTTTGTCTTCGTTACGAAATCACGTAAAACCGGGCCTTTACGCCCACGCTGCAGCGAGAGACTGGCACAGTCGCGGTGAAAGAAAGTCCGACTTCTTTAACAAGCTCGAGATGTTTATATCAACGCCAGAAATTAAATTCGACCATTGCATTTAAAAATCGTCGTGAAAATTGGATATTACATCCAAATTTTATTGTTTATTTTAATATTTATCGAGAAATTAATTCTTGTAATTTTTTAAATTACAATAACTTTCTAACATAAATGATAAATATTTTAGTCGTAATGTTGTGTTCTCGCAATATAAAATTAATTTAAAAAAAAAAACACCAGAAATGTAAATGCAATTAATTTCAGAGAATGTTAATCGATATGAAAGATTGGGATTTTAAATGAAAAAAAATAATTATAATGATATGCTGCTTTGCAGCTTCAGATTATTCGATCCCACGATCAAAGTCCATTACTAATGCTCAATTGAGAACGGCAAGCGTTTTTCACGAACCGAATGGAAAGTCGTACGATTCCATGAAAGATGATCGTTTGCACGATATACTGTCCAAGGGGCTCGTGTGCTTGCACAAAAAGCTGTATCCTCTGAACCGGCTGTATTGGAACTAGTTGACTGACCCTTGTGTCTTGTAATTTATATATTTGCTCGGTGATACATGGTTACATTACAGTACAAAATTACGAAGTTTGATCTAGAAATTGTACATAAAAGTATAGGAAATCAGATAATTAATGTGAACTTAATGTAAACTTTTAATAAATTTGCAAAAAAATACCGTAATAATATTGCTTGCAGTTTAATATATATAACATTTTGTAACATATATAATATGATATATATAACAATATTATATAAGTTATGTATTTCTTGTTTCTATTGTCTATACTATCAATGTTTGCTTTTATCATACGTTTTGTATTGCACAATATATAAAAAATATTTTATATTTATTTTTATTGTATTTTATTATAGAACTTACAATAAGTATAAAAATGAGAAAATGCTATTATGGCATATAAATATTTTGCTTATAAATAATTGCACGTTTATTTACAATGATAATTAAAACTTTTTAATTTCTAATTTGAACATATTATAAAAAAAAATTTACATTTTCATTGAACCGATTGGAAAGCTTTCTTATCTTCAATTATTACATTATTTAAATTATTATATTATTACATTATTTAAAAATCTCTTCCATTATATCAATATAATCCTTAACATCATTTATATATCTTCGAAGAAATTTATGATCTTTTCTTATATTTTTTATTAAGTTCTTAACATCTGTTTCTCTGTAAAGAAGAAAACGATTTTATTAAATTTCCAAACAATTGTTTAAGCTGACAATTGTTTATGAACTTACTTTATTTTACCCAGCAGACATTGAACGCTGGTATCATCTGAAACGAGTTTGTCAAAACGTTTAACTTTGATTGTGATTCTCAATATAATGTCCATTTGTTTGCTTCGACAGGTAAATGAAATTCTAAAATAAATATTAATTTTGTCAGTGCATATATGTTGATTATACTCCAATAGTGTCAACGCTTAATATAATGTAGCATAAAACATATGATAATTTAATATAAATTCTTACTTATCGTAAGAAATGTCCATTAAGTTTAAGTCATCTAAACACCTCAAGTCGAACATGAAATCCATAGCTAGTTTTACATCTTGCGAAATAAAGTTGAGCATTGGAAGAATGTCCTCTTGAGTTTTATATAAATTTGTAAGTGTTTTCGCGTTTATTTTCTCTAGAATTAATTTGTGAACTATCCTTATTAATATTCCTGCGTCATCTATTATAAAAAAAATACAAAAGGCATTAAAATATTGCGATTTTATTTTTCGATTAATATTTGTACAATTACCTGCAACGAGGGAAATAAGTTTGATTTCTTTAATCAAATTTTCTTCGAGGTCATTACGATCATACGACGACAAGTATATTATTACCAATAATGAATTTGACATAAAGCCAAAAACGATAATTTTCTTGTCAAAATTTTTAAAATGCACATTCCAAATGCAATCTTCTCTATAATAAAATAATATTAAGTCTCATTATCTTAAACTCTTCTCGATAATAAAATGTAATAGAAATATATATATATACCTTATAGCATGTATTTCTAATTTTTGCGATAATATTAAAAATGGATCTTGCTCGGTTAAAGATTCCTCTTCATTTGTGCTAGTATATTGTTCCGCAACGAGTTTTTCTTGTTAAACATTTGTCTTTTTCTTTCTGCGCTGTGCAGTTTTTACTTTCTATTTTAAATTTTCTTTTTTTTTTTTACTATTTTTATTTGATGTTTAATTACTGTTTCTGTTCTGTTGAGATGATCATCGCATTCATCTATCTCTTGCTTTTTTTCCACATTCAAATACTGTCTTTTTATTTTAATATTATCCTGTAATTTTGTATCTTTATTTACCTTTTTTGAGGTATATTCTCTTTCGTTTATTTGATCTTCATCTATTACTTTAATTTCTGTGCTAATTAATGACGTACAATTAAGATTAATATTTTCCATTGTCATAATTTCTTCATTTTTCGTATTTGTTAATAATATGCTTTCTTCGTTCATTTCTTTATTTTCTGTAATATAACAATTTGATTCATTAAGTTGATTGTCATCAATAATTGTCTTGGCGGTCTCTTGACAATCAACTTCCTGATTATCTTCAATTTTATCTACTATAATTTTTTTGTAACAATCTTCCGTTTGGTTATTTATCGATTCCTCTTTTTCTGTTAAATTTGTGAAATAATCATTCGCAACACTTTTTCTAGAATCTATTGGATATTTAGTTTCTGTTACATTATTTATTATTAATCGATCAGAAATATTATTGATTGATACATCAGTAACGACCGGCAACTGAAATTCAGATTGAACTTGGTGAGAGGAATTCTCTTCTTCGCTGTCCGGACATTCAAACGATGGTGGTGTAATCGATTGTAATTCCACAAGATTGTTTTCTAAACTTTTTCTTAAGAAACTACACCTATTAATCTCGTTTAGACTGTCTCTGAGATTTGAGTCGGATATTCGCGTATCTGCATCAGTTTGAAAAGTTGTGCTTGTGGATTTTTCAGCAGATAAATACGTCTTTGGCAATTTTTCAGAAGATCGTGTAGTATGGATAATATTAAATATTTTCTCACAATGCGGAGAATTCGAAACAACTTCAGTAAATTCCATAGATTTATGTAATATTCTGGTTTCTTCATTAAGACAGATTGTGCCTTTGTCCTTTTCACTGTGTATATTTTCCTTGGATAATGATTCACAAGTAATAGTATCAGTAATTTCTTGTCTGCTTTTCGTTGACACTGCTTTTGTCATTTCCATAGATAGATTAAGAAATGTAGTTTTATCATTTGTAAATATTGGTTCATCTACTTTCAAGTTTTTTTTATTATAAATATTTGAAGACAGTATGGTATTTACAGGTACTGTCATTTCCATCTGTATATCATTAAAAATCTCAGTTTTATCAGTTTGATCTTTTCTCAGATCATTTCCTTTAACTACATTTTCATTGCAAGTATTTTTTTCATATATCTTCGGTGATATACTAGTCGCTTTCATTAAGTTATTAACAATTACATTATTTGTATGACATGTGTCAGTGCCTATAACATCTCTAGATGATTGTATTACAGATGTTAATATCATTGAATCATTGGCACAATTCACATTTTGTATTTGTTCAGAAATAATATCTATAGAAACAATATCAGACTGTAAATTGAAAGCTGTTGAAAATATATTGTGATCATTATTTGCAACATCCCCCTTCGTATCTTCACAATTTTGTATTTGTTCAGAAACAATATCTTTAGAAACAATATCAGATTGTAAATTGAAAGCTGTAGAAAATACATTGTGATCATTATTTGCAACATTCCCATTCGTTTCTTCACAATTTTGTGATATCATTGGAATTTGTTTAAAAATTCTTAAATCAGAAGTAACAGACATTGTAGACATTGGCACAGCCTCTGTAATTTCCATTGATATATTATTATAATTACTAGTATAATTTGTATCTATATTATTTATTATATCATCCTTTTGTGTCTTTTGTTTTTCTATATGTGAATTTGCAGATATTAAGAAAGATATTGGTGTAGTTAATTCCATAGACAAATCTTGAATATGTGTCTCATTTAATTTAGAAGTGTTGTTTGGACATAATTCAGAATAATTTTTGGCAACTTTATTCGTATAATCTTCTTCATCAGAATCCTTATATATAATAATATTGTTTGGCTTTATATTTTTAGATATATGAGATGCATTTGTTATTACAGTTTGTCTATATGACTTCTCATCAAGCAATTCTATATGTTCTTCATTCTTGTCATTATATGTAACACTAATACTTGATATTTTATCTTCAAATCTACTTGGCAATGCAGTATTTTCTACTTGGAATACATTAGATAAATCTGTAGATATTGGATTTGTAAAGTCTAAATTATAGTTTGTATCATCTTCTTCATTTGCTATTGCAACATATTTTTGTGATATCTGATCATCTATTACGTGAGTACTCATCGAATTACTTTCAAAGTTAATACATTTATTAACACAGCTATTATTAGAATTATGTAATGATGCATTTTCTTTTGATTCAGTTTCACCATTTTGATCAGTTACAGAGGATCCTTTTAAACTAGAATCATGTTCTTCATAGGTATTATCCCAAACAGTTCCTTGTTCAGTTGAATGACAAAACTCTCTGTATAGAATAGAATATTAAAACAATAAATTGTAATCAAATTTTACAAAATTTTATGCAAAAAACTTACTTAACATGTTTCTTCTCCGCAAAACTAACACGTCTCTTGATTTTTGATGGAACTGGGCTGTTTTCATCAGAAGAAGAGTCAAAGTTTACATTTTGCAATGGTTGACGTGGTTTACGTGGTTTAAGAATCTGTTCAAGAACAAATTTCATTTTTAACAAAGATACATTAATGTCATTTAGAGCAAAAAGGCATCACTAGAGTTTCTTAATTTGAAAAATGATTTGTGTTAATTTCTGTCAATGTAGATTAATTTTAATTCGGTTTAAATCTATTCTTTATTTTTTTTAATTTTTAGAATAAAAAAAAGAAGAAAAACAAGTTAAACCGAATAATAACCGAAAAATAATCTACATTGATAGAAACGACCACTAGACAAGCTAAAATCATGTGTAAACTCACCGATGATCGTCTAAATTTATTTCTCTCGGAGTCAGATGGAATCCTGCGACAAATAATATTATTTTTTTCTTGTAACATTTCTGTATTATAAAATACGCATTTCACACACAAAATAACGAGAATGGAATAGGCAGCTTCAATACCTACATTTCGTTCGCATACATAAGAAAACAGAAACATCGGAGGAACGGTTGAATTTGATTCAAAAATCTCCGTCAGTGCTGATCAGTGCTGCAAGCGTAAAATCCCATTTACAATGCAGATTCGTAAGCTTCAAGTCCCGGTCTATAATAGGTGATTTAAGTCTTCAGCTATAAAAAAATGGACGAATCATAGTCGAAGAATAGGAGAATACTCGACTATGATTGGTCAATTTCTTATGGCTTAAGGCTTAAATCACCTATGGTAGACCGGGACTTATTTGGGAGGCGACTTTGTATTTTTCAGAACACAACGCATGGAAACTCGCATAATTCTTGTATAAGGTGTGCACGGGCGACGCGCGTAATCTCGGACCAATGGGCGATCGCCAAATATGCGATCCCACACAATTCCACGCGTTCCAAAAGGTATACGTATACACAGTTGTGTTTGAGCGATATCAGATGACATTTGACGGTGGTTGTGCACGATTGGCTGACGGAATTTGTTAAAAAGCAACGAGAAGATACGAAAATCGCGCATACGGGAACTTTCCTTGGGAATTAAGGAGTAGGCTTCTCTCGATCGACAGGGGAAACGGTCGACGTCGTCAACTCCATCCTCGGTTAAACGACAACGAGGCGACAAGGATTGTCAATCGCTGTTGCATACTACGTCAACAGCTGACCTCCGGTCTGGCTGACACACCGAGAGAATGGCAGACGCCGCCGTTAATCTTGTAATAAAAGCACCGAATCAGCAGATCAAAGACCAAGTCGTCAAATGCGATCTTGGCTGGACCATCGGCCGTTTGAAGGAATACTTGTCCGAGGTCTATCCCAGCAAGCCAGTGAGTCTCGTGAAAGTAATCATTTCCTCCCGGTGAAAGCAACGTACATTTCTCTTTGCATTTTCTTTCTTTTTTTTTTCTCTTTGTGTCGTTTAATCTCAGTGGAAGGATTGTTTAAGAATTGTTGTTTAAACAATGATAATCAAAATATTTATATTTATGTATTGCCCCATTAGATGCAGAAGATCTTACGAGATAAATGTCACTTGTAATTAAAGCAAAAAGTACATCTCAGTATTATATTTAAGCTGAAATTCCTACGAGATTATCAGTTCTATATCTATATTATATTTTGTTTCAAAAAGTATAATATTTAAAAATATAATAAATATATAACATTTATAATTGTTTTTGATATGAAGATATATTTTTTTAAATGTATATGTTTATATATATTGAAACACTTAAATATGTCCTTGTACAATATTATTACATATTGTTGTAAAAAATAAACTTAAATGATTAACAATTAATCTAAGAATTGTTGTTATTGTTTATAGGAAAGTTCACATCAAAAGTTGATCTACTCTGGTCAATTATTGAATGATTCGGCACAATTGAAAGATGTTCTGAGACAGTGCGATGGTTCAGAGGATCAAGCTTATACCGTTCATCTAGTCTATACACCACAGAAAGTATCCATTGCTAAAGTTACATCAGATCAAAATCGGACTATTGAGAAAAATGTAGAAACTGCGTCTGCAACAAGAAACATTCATATCAGAAATAACAATGTCCAGAACCAAAATCATGAGAATGCTAATATTGCTGCTTCTCAGCATCAATATTTACCTCAACAGTATCTTGATCCTCGAAATAGTCAGCAATTAGCTTGGATGCAACAGGCATATACTCATTATTTTACACAATATATGCAACTGTAAATATATCTTTCTCTCACAATATTCTGTAGAAGTACAATATCGATATATAAATAATATGGTACTTTTGTAGGATGGCAGCGCAAGGCATACAGTTACAAGCCAGTATTCCATATCTGCAGCAAATGAATATTAATACGAGTGATACAGCTCAACATACATATACGAGCAACAATAACAATAATGTTGGTGACGAACAACCCCAACCAGCAGCACAAGATGCAGCTGATATCAATGCAGGAAATAACGGTGCGGGTGAGGATGCTGCATTTAATCGTGATTGGTTGGACTTCTTTTACATGTTGTCTAGGATCATCGTTCTATTTGGTATAGTGTATTTCTATTCGTCTCCTCTGAGGTTTCTCATCGTCACATTTTTGGGATTTGCGATATATCTGTAAGTTAATCTTTTTAATATTTTTTGAATCTATACTCTATGTTTTCATTCTTTAATATTCTGTCTGAAAATTGTTAAATGTAACACAACATATTTGTTATAGATATCAAGGTGGTTTCTTCAGAGTACAACCTATCTTATTGGCTGAAAATAATAATGGTCGCGCAGATAACAATAATCAAGTATTGCAGAATGAAGTAGCAGGTCCTCAGGCTGTGCCACAGCAACAAAATGCTCAAGTGCCAACAGTACAACCGGAAGCCCAAACAAACGCCAATGAGGAGAATGAGGAACAACGGCCAGGCGCTCTTGCCTTTACTTGGACCTTCTTCAGTTCATTTTTTGCCTCGCTTATTCCAGATCAACCAAACGTTATTTAATCTTGTCTGGATATTCCATCATCAAATTGACTTTCTTTTTCTTTACACTTGACATAAAGACTGGAGAAGATGATTTTTTTGTCATGATATACTAGATTTTGAAAATATTTAACAATTTATAGAATCAGAAGTGCTTGTACTCATAATTCATTCGATACAATTCCTATAAAAGTCTGATCAGTTTTATGATACCCAAGAATTTTTGTATTTGAATCTAATATATATAAATGTTCACATATATGTATTAATAATCAACATACGCTTAAAATGGATGACAATTGGAAATCCAATTTCACTTGTAAAGATTATATATGTGTCAGTTTAATTTATTGAGAGACTCGCATTCACGAAATAAAACAGTCACGTTAGGTCTATAGATTAACGCTAACTTTCCTTCAAAAGAAGATTGTTAGAGTTGCCATCCCAAAGCTATTAGAATTAAATGTATAAACAAATTTTTTATGTTTGTAGAATATTATATAAAGGTATGTACAACGAGAGATAAATAATCATGTATATAGCTATATAAAAATAAGAAATATAAATTTCGTGTAGAGCTTGTATTGTATAAAGCTATATATATATAAAATGAATAACAGGCGCTTAATAATTTCTTAAAGAATTCTTATATAGCAATAATATTATATTATGTGCAGATGATTTTACTGTGATGTTTTAATACGATCAAATATATCCCATATGATATCTATGTAAAACATTGCGTTAAATTCCTATATATAATTATTATTGATATATAAATATATCAATAGTAATATATGTATAATATATATAATATATATAATATATACAATATATACAATATATACATATATATATATATAAAAGTCAGAAGTATTGGTGGAATTGTGAAATTTCTGTAAATTTTCTTAAATAGTCTTATAAGAGCATCAATGAATTAAAAATGTATGTAAAACAAATAAAATGGTTTTTAAAATTCTTTTATGTTATTAGCTTGTTATTTCACTTAACAAATATATGTAATAAATATCCATTCTGGATGAAATGTTCTGACAAAAAGAGATAAGATGGATGACAAAACTTATCTGATGTATAATTCAATCAAAAAAAGACAAAGTACAATAATGATAAATTTCACATGTTGAGATTAAGAAATTTTGTTATAGATATCAGTCACATGCTCTGTGGTATAAGTTGGATAGTAATGCATAAAAAGCATTCATAATCATTCATTTATAAAGGAATTATTTTACATAATTTATATAATTTACAGTAAGTTATATTTATTATATATTTATCGATGATATTAAAATACTAAATTTACATTTTTCATATCATTATATAATAATAATTATACAAAATGAAAACTAACCTTAATTTATGATTCTACAAATAAAAACTGCATAAAGAATTTATACTGCATATAATTATCTTTACAACATTATTACTTTACAACAATTATTATTGTTTTGTAATATGAAAAAAGTTTATTGTGATATTTTTTAGAAATGTCTCGATCGAAGATTTCCGATTTACTTGGTGTGCTTAAAGGAATGCAAAGTGTGACAAATGCTATTATAAAACATCAGGAAGATACAATTAGATATATAATTACACACTCCAGTTTAAAAGATTTACCTAAGAAATGTTTCCAAGCTGCAGGGAAAAAATTGACTAATATAGAATCAAGTAAGGTACCTGTAAGTTATACGATATCTAAATGATATATCACCCTAAACAACATGAAATCCAAAATTGGGATAGAAGATTTATCTAAGATGTTTTTTTTTAGCTTTCTTTTAGATGTCTTTTACATTTTTTAAAAATCTCTCAGATGTTTTATGACCTGATTTTGAACTTCGTGTTGTCTAGGATCTTATATCTATAGCTTTATATGTTTCTTTTTTTATAGGGACAGATAATGAAAGACTTAAAAGAAACAACTGAGCGTGTAGCTATTGTTGAAGAAGGTATTAAACAATATATTAAGATAATAGTTAATCAAACATTGGATATAAAGGATGATTCTTATACTCCTAAAAAAGAAACAAAACTATATGTATATAATGCTGCAAAAGATCCAAAAGAATTATCTCTTGATAGAGATGTTGTGTTACCAGAATACAATCTTAACAAATCTATAATACAAGAATCTTTAGAAGGCATGCCAAATAATATGAAAAAAAAGTATATGACTGTAAAAGAAAAAATCAAGACTATTGCAACTTCAGATAAAGAGATACCTGATATAGAACTCTCTGATAAAGATAAAGAAATCTTAAGGAAATTGGAATTAGAACATGAAAAGAATATTAATAATGAGATTATAAGTTCTACCTCCTCTTATATAATTAAAACAGATGAAAAGGAACATGTACATACACAAGTGAATTCTAAAGAAAGACCGAAAGTCAAATTATCAGTTAGACCAAAGCAAAGTGTTAGTGTCATAAATTTTAAATTTTCAATAGTTTTAAATTTTCAGTAATAAAAACATACATTTGTATTATAATTTTTCTATTTTTATTAAAGTATTGTATCTATAATATTAATTTATATATAATTATTTATCTATAAAATATCTATATATTATAATTATTTATCTATAAAATATCTATAAATATATCTATAATATTATAATTAATTAGCATGTAATTTATGTTATTTAGCTATCGCCTACTGCTAGAGAAAGAAAAGTTCCTGTTACAAGATTACAAAGAATGGTAAGTTTTGGTACCTTAGGTATCGGCCTTGGTCTTGGTACTGTTGCAGAATATACAAGAAGAACATTAGGATTAAAAGAGCAAAGCATTGGAGACGCAGTTGATAATATGTTTCTTACTAAAGCTAATGCAGAAAGAATAGTTTCAACATTATGCAAAGTAAGAGGTAAGATTATACATATACATATATATATATATATACACACACACACACACATACACAAATAGATAATATTTTTATATATTGGGGAATTATACCATTTTACCAAAAAAATATAGGTGCTGCTCTAAAAATTGGTCAAATATTAAGTATCCAAGATAATACTATTATAAGTCCCGAAATGCAAAGTGTCTTTGAAAGAGTCAGACAAAGCGCTGATTTTATGCCAACGTGGCAAGTGGAGGTAAATGACACAGATACATAGATTAAAAGATAGTTTATTAATATCCATAATTCTTTCTAGAAAGTATTAATTAGCGAACTTGGTCATAATTGGAGAAATAAATTGGCATTCTTTGAAGAAAAACCATTCGCTGCAGCATCCATTGGTATATTATTAATTTATATATATATAATTTTATATATGTATATATGCAAAATTCTAATTAAAAAATTGTCTACATAATTTATGTTAGGACAAGTGCATCATGGTATATTATTGAACAAACAAGATGTAGCAATAAAAATTCAGTATCCAGGCGTAGCTATGGGTATTCAAAGTGATATAGAGAATTTAGTAGGCATAATGAAGGTAACTGTCTCAATCAACATTATATATATCTTACAGAACTTTATTCATATAAATTTTATTATATGAATATATCTTATGTTCATTACAGATATGGAATATGTTTCCAGAGGGAATGTTTATAGACAACGTAGTAGAAGTTGCAAAACGGGAACTGGCGTGGGAAGTGGATTATATACGAGAAGCGGAATGTACAAGAAAATATAGGAAGTTAATAATGCCTTATCCGGATTATTACGTGCCTGAAGTAATAGGTACGAAATATAAAAACGTAAACTCATTTCCAGACATTTAATATGAATTATATTTCTAGATGATCTCTCTACAAAACAAGTATTTACAACAGAAATGATAGAAGGCATACCTGTTGACAAATGTGCAGATATGGATATTAAAATTAGGAAACGTATCAGCGAACTGATCATGCGTCTGAGTCTAAAGGAATTATTTGAATTTCGATACATGCAGACTGATCCAAATTGGTCCAACTTTTTTTATAATCTTGATACAAAACAGGTCTCTTAATTATGGTGTAATAATTATGTATTTGTAATTTTAATCGCAAGAATACTAATATAGATGTATCTTTGCAGTTAGTTTTATTAGATTTTGGCGCATGCAGATCTTATGATAAAGCATTCATGGACAAATATATAGAAGTCATTAATGCTGCGAGTGAAGGTAATCGCGATAAGGTTTTACAATTGTCTCGAGATATGAAGTTTCTCACTGGATACGAGTCCAAGGTATCTTTTTATTAAACGATTTTTAATATTCTGAAATATTCCTATATGTACAGTTCTAATCAAATAATAACTTTTACACTGTTACACTTAGATTATGGAAAATGCTCATGTGTATGCAGTCATGATACTTGGACAAGTATTTGACAATAATCACGAATATTATGATTTTGGCGATCAAGATGTAACAAAACGGTATGTCTGATTTATTCTCTATCCATTTCACAACAAATAACAATCTCATATTGCAGGATCCAAACTTTAGTGCCAACTATAATAAATCATCGATTATGTCCTCCTCCTGAGGAGATCTACAGTTTACATAGAAAATTGTCAGGGATATTCTTATTGTGTGCAAAACTTCGAGCTAAAATCAAGTGTCGTGATATGTTTCGTGAGATTTATAGCAGTTATAAATTCGGCTAATGCGTTAATATCGATATTAATATGAAATATGTAAGATTAAAATGTATATTTTGAAGACAAAATATGTATCATTTGAAATAAAAATTGTAATATGATACAACAGTTTTTATTTTATTAAAACAGCAAATTATTCCGTGCTGTAATATGGGCGAGTCTTTTAATTCATCAATTAAAATTCTCTCGCAGCCATATTAGTTTATGATTATCATAGATAAAAAAATGATATGCGATAAATTAATTGCTATGTACAATTTATTTTTATTTTTCAGTTTCCAGTTTTATCTTTATTTTTTAGTTTTCTGTTAAAAATGTAATTTCGTGATCGTGAAACTTGTAAAATGTGCGGAAAACTGATCCGATTGTCATAGAAGTAGAAAATAATTCAAAATTATTATTTTGAAGGAAAAACTAAAAAATAAAGGCTAAAAACTAAAAGATTATTTAGGCCTGTTGCTCACAGGACGCAAGTTGGCGATAGCCAATCATCTCGCTCTTATGAAAAAGTGATTGGCTAAATTGATTGGCTATTGCCGCCAATTTCCACCGCGCGTGACGCATGAGTGTCGGTCCACAATAGATGATTTAAGCTTTAAGAAGAAATTGACCAATTATAATATGAAAATATGAAAAAAATAATCGATTGTGATTGGTCAATTTCTTACGGCTTAAAGATTAAATACTTATTGTGAACCGACACTGACGCGTCTTGTGAGCAACAGTGAGCCTTAAGACGATCTTAAATATAAGAACGGACTGCGAATACCGGCCTTAGTTTTTCTCTTCTCCTTTTCTTTTCATGTTGGAAAGAAAAGGAAACGCACCTATCAACTGTGAACGTAATTCCTTTTGTAAATGCTCATTTATGGATTTATATAAATTAATAACTCTTTAATTATTACGAAAATGGCAAAATGATACAGGATTTTTCTATTAATATAATCCGTTCTATTTGCCCATGAAAGATGATACGATTATTATTAGACACCCTGTATATCTCTATGACAAGATCGTCATGGTTACCGCTTGTAAACGTCTAGCAATAGTCATCCACTTGTCGAATGTACCGTAAGACCTGGTTTAAAGCGGTTTACAGAAACTTTCCAATACCGTGATGTTTGTACTGTAGTGTATGTTTCTTCCTATGCTAAGTAATAAATAGAATGGATTGGGCTAGCGATCTCGAAGTCACATCGAAAAAGGTAATCTCAAAGAGTCTGTTTAGATCCCGATAATATGAAAGACAACTACTTAAGAATTTGATGAGTCTAAAGTTGTAAATTAATTCTACAATTGAGCTTAAGTACCAAATACTACGATCAATTTGCAGCTAATACCTCGTCTAGGTAGACGTGCAGGTCAGAATAATTTGCAGGAAGAGAATAAGTCTGATGATGATCTTTTAGAAAGTCCTATTTCCTTGTCGTCTGGAAAGTCTGTATCTATGCAGAGACCTATAGTTCCACCTCGATCAAGGAAAACTGGCTGGGGTGATGAATTGAAAAGTGGCAAGTAAGTTTGGATTATTTATAATGATGTTAATATAGAAATAAAGAAAAAAAATAAATATATACTGTAAAAGAAGATATAAAGGATAATAATATGAATAAAATAAATTTATTTCTTTTAAGTGCCACCAATTAGAACTCAGACATAATGGATAAGAATAAGAAATTGGAGATTTGTTTTCTATTTTCTATTTTGTTTCCCCCCTGGACTGCACTAAAATTTTTCTAAAATCTCGCTTTTGTCAATTTCAAATATATGTCAAATATATTTCATTTTATGATTATACATTAGTTCAGCTACAACAGGCTAAAGGAATTGAATATAAAGAATTGGGAAGAGCAAATTTTTTTGACTAAAGACAAAAACTTCAATATTTTTTGATTGTATACTGAAGCATAATTTCTTATATGTTGAAATTTAATTCTTTTTTAAGCATTTAGTTGGACTTATTCTTTTTTCTTTATACAGATCAAAGACGGCATCAAATATCATTGAACAGTGAGTATAATCACAGGACCGTCGAGAATGGGTTTGGATTCTAAAAAAAACATTCATTCATTCAGTTTTCCAGAATTTTGGAATATTGTATATTACAATTAAAAAAGTTTTTTTGGCTATCAAAACATTTATGACATATTTTATAACATATATGTTGTTTTATTTACATAGTTTATAATATATACGCAATTAACCAATGCTGACATAAAAATTAAAAAAATATAAAACAGAATTGTATTTGATGCCTTTTGAATCGTTGGCCCTCGATAATATGTCGCTCTCCCCATCTCGTCGGGCCTGAGTACAATATATAAAAATGAAGAATCAGATATCTAGTTACTGTTCCCTACTGCTATTTCCTAGGGAGCGTTTTCGAGTAATTGAAAAAGAGGAGCAAGAAGATGGTGAGCTGATTTGAAACAGGCTTCATTAAAAGCTTATATATCAATATTTAATTAATATTTCTATTTTCGATTTTATCTTTAATTTTTTATTAATGTAATAACAGTGAAAAAAATAAGTATAGGAAAATTTTAGATATCCGTCTTATTTACTATTTCTTTTTATCATTTCTTTTTTATCGTTTTTTTCTTCAGTGTTATTAATTTTTGCGTTTGTAGATATTCCAGTTATACCAGATTTGGATGAAATTCAGGAAGATAATATTTCGTCTGAGATTGCAAGCGCACCTACGTAAGTTATATTTTTATTTTTACTAAGACTTACTTTCCCGTCAAAGAATTTTATATAAAATTTCTACGTAAAACTTTAATACTTCTAAATTTAGAATTATAAATTAATTTCAGACGTAAGTTTTACGTCTAAATTCGAACGTATTAAAGTAATTAAAGTTGGTTTTTATAAATAATTAAAAAAATATCAAAGTTTAAAATATACAAGTCTATGTGACAATCGTTCCGTTTCTTTTTTAATATAAATTATAATCTAGATAATGTTATTATTTAGATAAAGGGAAAAGAAGAGATCTTTTTTACGTCACATGATATATAAATTGATATAATTTTTAGAGTTAATGCAAATAGAGTGACTGCATATGAAGAATTGGACACTGATCTAGTGAAAAATGCTGCGTATACGTCATTAGACGGCGTCAGCCTTTCTCTTCTCGCAGACAGGCTGTACAATGAGAATTTAGTGAAAGAACCAGACGAAGTTTGGAATTGGAATCTTCTCTTTACGCAAATTTCTTCAGAAATTAATAGCGAGATGCAAAAAAAGATTGAGGCTTAACAACGCGTCAAATCACGAGTTTTTGAAAACAATACTAAAATATTGGAGAATGGATATAATAATGATCGTCTTATTTATGATACTTTAACATATTATATTTAAAAAACTTCTGCTAAATACAATTTTAAAAAAAACTCAATATTTACAATACATACATAAGAGTAAAATCATGGTATGTTTATTTCGATACCATATTTTCTACAAACCTATACTTCCTAATTCTTTATATTTATTTTCTTATTCTCATTCATTGTGTCTGATTCCCATATATAATAGTTACTCGTATATGATAATTATCGAGACTGTAATTTGAATTCTCAAAATCCAAATTCATTAAATTGAATATGTATTGTGAACTCAGATTTGATTAAAGTGTATAAAGAAGAAAAGTATAAAATTATTAATAGCTATACAGTAAAATAATTTTTGTATATTTTTCAATGTATCTCTCTGAAACATTGAACATCTAGCCATGTAAATATGATTATAATCAGTTGATCATAACTCTAATAACTCAAAACTAATCGTACGATGTCATTAATCGAAGCGATCAAAATTCACTGCAGCCGAAAAAAACATTAAAAAACTGTGCAAAATTGTCACAGCTTAAAAAATAAAAAGTCACCCTACTACCTGAATTTTTCGAGAGAGAGAAAAAGAAGGAAAACTTTCAATTGTATCGGCAAAAAAATGGCATACCGCTAATCGCGGTGCCTGCATATGGAAGCGACAAATTACCTCGTCTGACCTATTCGATTACCCCCCAATTTGGAAATCGCGGGTACTTCGAGGAGCGACGTGAAGACTCAGAACCGTGCAGGCGTGCAAATCCGTGGTCGTGAAAACACGAGCCACGAAGATGCATGCGCAATCGGGAGTCAGACCACTCAGCTACTTGAAGCTTACGATAACGTGACAACACCCACTGAGCAGATCTGCCATATCTCTACGTTTAGCGATCGATGTTCAGTTGTGCCATCACTAGCACACGCTTCCAGGAAATCTTCCTTTTCGAGCGATATATAAAGTAAATTTGTTGATTGAAGATGCATGCGAGAAACCGACAGACTCTTTCTTCGATGTCACGAGCAACTGTGTCTCGACTAAACATCACTTCGTACATTTCCTCAGAATATTTCATGAAATGGAAGACGTCGTTATCACGTTGTTAATTTGACAATTTCATGATTATCAGTGAAAAATCAGTCACAGTTTCATTAAGTTATTAAGGCA